TCGGTGTTTTGGTCTTTGGTTTTGGTTTCGAGTATTTCTTTGCTTTCATTCGCGCGAAAACTCTTCAAATTGTTTCCCAAATAAACGGTTTTTTTGTCACAAAACATGTGTTTCTTTGCCTCTAATTAATACCAAAACTCTGTTTAAACACTTGTTTCGAGTGTTTATTTGAAAAGCCATCAAAAAGAGATCCCTTTCCTCTCAACAATCGATCGCTCGCTATATAGGAGCGAAGGAAAGCCTTATTTCGCATTCAAGTCTAGACTTGCGTTCAGTTTGTGTTTATTTTTGCGTTGAATTCAACTTTTATTACGAAAGAAGTCATAAAACGAGAGAAAAATAAATAATTTTTTTCGCATTTCATCTGAAATTCAAATTCAATTCAATATTCGTTTCAATTCTGAGTTCAAAGACTTTTTTTATTCATTTTTTTTGTATTGAATTTCAATTCAAACGAGTTTTTCGTTCAAAACACGAGTGAAAACATGAGATGAGAGGTAACGGCGCTCTTGTCGTGTGTCTGCTTCTGGCTCTGTGGGCGCCGTCCGCTCTCCCGGCGCCCGACGAACAGCCGGCGCCGCGCTGGCCGTGGAAGCGCTCGGAATACGCGACTCTTTTGGAGCGGAAGTTGTGTTTCAAAGCGGAAGCGATCGGCGAAGAGTTGGTTCGCGTCTGCGATCCCGACGCTCTTCTGGCGACCGCCGACGCCCTCCTCTTGAACCGCCTTTTGCTCAGCGAAGAGACGGCCGAAGAGGTGTTCGACGGCGAAGACGACTGTTTGCGGCGTTCCCTCAGAATAGGCGTCGCCTTCGCCTTCGAAACGCTGCGAGAAATTGGGTTTGAAATGAATTCTGTGTTTATTTGTCGCCAAAAATGCCTTAAATTTGGAGTTATTTTTAGCGAAGAAGACTTTTTCGCTGAAGAACTGCTCACCAGATGGCGCCTCGCGTCTCAAGACTGTCGCACAGATCTCGTCCTCTTCGTCGACAGTCGCAGACCTCAGGTTTGTCTTCTCTTCTTCTGGAACTGCTTTCTTCTCACTCTCTCTCTTCAGTTGTCAATAGCGGCGGGAAATCAGACGCGAGACGTCTTTTCGGCCGCTTTTCCCGTGATTTGCGACGAATTGACAGAAGAGTTCGCGAACTCTTCGCCGGAAGACAACTATTTCGAGGTTTGTCTCAACTCTTAGACACTTCTCTCACGTCTTCTGCCTTCAGTTCGTTCGCAACGCTTCCCTCCGTCTGCACCGGGAGTTCGGAGTCCGCCGTTCGGAACGCCTTTCGGCGGAGCGTCGGCGCCGCGAATCGCAGCACTCGTTGCTCTCAACACTCGTTTACTGCGTGTCTTTGGCCGCAATCCTTGTAATCGCGTGTTATTACTGCTATTGCGGGAAACGGAAGCGCGCGGAAAACGCGTCGCAAACGGAATAATAAAACGAAAGATTTTTAGAGAATTTGCGATTTATTGAGAGATAAGAGCGTTATTAACAGAAAGATTGAAGTAAAAGGAGTTCCAAAACGGAGTTTCCTTAGAGCTGACACGCGAGCGGCACGTCCACCTGTTGGCGCAGATCGACGCGTTTGTTGACCAACTGTTTGATCACTTGCTTCTCCGCCTCAACGATGAGTTGTTGAGTGAAAGGCGAGGTTTTGGGCAAACAGTGGAAATCCAACTGCTGGGCCTTCACGCGCAGGGGACGGGCGTTGTTCACACACGTCATCACGGGTCTGGTGGTGAAGCACACCATGTCGTCACGTTCCATGTATTGGGTGCGCAGGCGCTGAATGATCTTTTGCTGGTCGGGAGTCGCGCCGAAAAGAGCGGCCTTTTGTCCGGCGCTCAGCGGCTGTCCGTCCTGTCGGGCGAGTTGCGCCTCCTGCTGCTGTTGGGCGGTGCGCGCCAACTCCTCCACATTGGACTGTTGCTGGATGATCTGCGAGCGCTCCTGATTGGACAGCGCGTTCGGCTGGATCTGCTGGCGAGTAATCGTCACTTTCTGGCCGTTCGGTCCGATCACGTGTTTCACTTCTTTCACGGCAACCGTCTCTTCGCTCGAAGACGAGTAGTCTTTCGGGCATCGCTTCGGTCCTAAAGATTGCGTTATTAGTAGTCATGCCTAAAACAACTGAAAGGAAAGCCTACCTTTGGCGATGGGCGTCTGTTCGCAGTGTTGACCGCTGAGCGCATAAGAGTTAGCGAAGTCTTCCGCGTGCTCGTAAATGCAGAGATCGGGTCCCGCGAACTCCTCCTCCGACTCGTCGTTATTGTCTCCACAGAGACCACAGGTCTTGCCCTGGTACTTCGCGCCCAACTCCACTTTGGCGTTCTTTCCGTCGTATTTGACGGTCAAGTCCTCCAAATCGCTTTCCACGACGATTATCGGGTTCACGGAGTCCGAGGGGGTGGCTCTCAAGTACACTCTGACGTCATTGTCGGCGCCGGGAAGAGTGAAAGGCTTGCGATAAGTGATTTCGTGGGCGTGGCCGTCAATCACCACTTGCGCCACGTTCTGCTGTTGCGGCGGCAGGAGCTTGATCTCGGCTCCGGAGGTCAAGACGGTGACGATCTTGGTCTTGGCGGCGATGTCGAGGGTCTGCGCGAAGACTGCGAAGCGCTCTTTCGGCGAACAGTCTTTGGCCAACAGATACTGACACTGAGAGGCGGGAGTTTTGAAAGTCACGTTGTCGAAGGTGCGAATAAAGTCCTCCATCAAAACGCATTTGTCGGTCGCGTCGTAGCCCTGGGCGAGATTGGCGTACACTTCGGGAGTGGCCAGGAGGGCGGACACGGGTCTCACATACGGGATGTGGACGCGTTCGAAGCGCGTGTTTTCACGGGGGGTCTGGATCTCAATGTTCGCCAACTGGAGGTCCGGAATGCGCGACGAGTACTGCGCCACGAGACGGATCTGGTGCTCGGGGTTCGAGACGTCCAACTGGTCGGAGTCCATGTGCTCGTAAAGCGCGACCTTGAGGGCAAGGGCGGCCTTTTGGGTGTAGTTTTGGACACTCTTCGGGACATTCTTGTACTTGATATCCATCACGAGTTGATTGAAATACGAGTCCTCAATAAGCGCGCGTTCGCAGGCGTACGACTGGGCGGCGCCTTCCGAGCGGTCGATCTGACACTGGCGGTAGAACCAGGACTGCACGTGCGCGGCAGTGGAACCGTCCTGAACGGCCAGGTCGGCGGCGGTGATGACGCGGTCGTCGGTGCTCTCGAGCACTCCCGTCACGATGACTCCGCCCTCCGTCTGGCACTGTTGACCCCAACCCGCATGAGCCTGGAGTTTGGCCTTTTGGGACTGGAGTTGCGTCGGCTCGTAGTAGAACTCGTTGGGAATCGTCGGGTAGGAGAGGACGGCGTCGGCGCAGAACAGAGTCGGCACCTGAGAAGGGGAACGGGATTATAGTAACAGTGGTATAAAAACAGTCGACTGTCCACTACTCACTTGCATGTACACTCCTTTCGGCGCTTTGATGTGTCCGTCAGTCTTCAGCCAAACGATTCTGTGGTCATAGGTGTGGACGTAAAGTATGTTCGCAGCGTAATACGTGGGACGCGGGCCGCGCGCGACGGCAGTGATGGCGATGTCGTGAGCGATGGTTTGCGGCACTTCCGTCGACTCGTCTTGAGAGGACTTGTCTTCGGAGGACGAGTCGTAGTCTTCGTCCCAATTGTTTTCCCAAATGTGTTGAGTCTTGCGGACCAACTGTTTGGTGATCTTCTTGATGTCGCGACGCTTGAAGTCCTGTCCGAGGATCAGCTTCATGACGTCCTCGAAGTCGAAGACGTTGTCCTCGAAGGAGTGCGACTCATCGGACTCGGAGGAGGACGAGGAGGACTCGGAGGAGCGCGCGGACTTGGAGTTGTGTTTCGAGTTCTTGGAGCGGTTTTTGTTCTTCTCTTCGCTGGACTTGCTCTCCGAAGAGGACGATTGCGAAGACTCTTTGCTTCCGGATTTGGACCACGACTGGGATCCCGATTCGTTGGACGACTCGTCCGAAGACTCGTTCGTCTCTTTGTGAGCGGATCTCTTGGATCGCGATTTGTTTTCCGCCGATTTCGAGACCTGTTTATTCATTCGGTTTCGAATGCGTTGTTTCAAAGACTTGCTTTCATTCGACTCTTCGGAAGACTTGGAACTCTTCGAGGACTTGCTTTCCGACGACTCGGAAGACGAGGAGCTCTTGGATTCGGAGGAATGGGAGGCCGAGGACTCATCAGACTCGTCGGAGTCCGACTCGGAAGAGGCGGAGCTCTCGTCAGAGTCGTCGTTGTCTTTGCCTTCGTTCGCGTCTTCGATCCACTTGTAGCGCGCGGTGAAGTCGTATCCCGAGACGGGCTCTTCGGCGTCCGACTCCAACTGCACGTGCAGTTCGCGGGGCGCGAGTCCGGCGTTACGCCAGGCCTCGATGGCGGCCGCGACGATGCCGTGCTCTTTGGCGGTTTCCGAGGAGTACAGGGCTTCCGTGGCCCACGGGTTCTCAGTGTTCAGTTGGACGCGGAGGCCGAGGCCAAGCGTCTCCTGGCCGACGGTGTGCTCGTGCTTGAAGGGCACGGCCATCGACTTGATCTCCTTCGAGTCCTGCAGCCAATCGCGGTCCGGAGCGCCGGCAATGGCGGCCTTCGCGATGAAGGTCTTGGACTGCGTCTGGTGGTACACGATCTCGTTGGGCACCTTCGGGATCACAGACCACGTGATCAGGTTCTTGGGGCGCGAGTAGCCGACGGAGACCTCAACGGGAAGAGTGGCCTGAGTCGTCTTCTCGACGTGCGTTCCGTAGGCCTGGCGGTCGGCGGTGTCGACGGCGAAGGCGAAGGCGTACGAAGAGTAGAAGATCGAGGGCTGGATCTGAGCGGTGATGTTGGCACCGGTGGGATAGATGGTTTTGGGCTCGGCGGCCATTTGCAACTTAGCCTGGTCGATCTTGATGGACACGATGGTCGGGTGTCTGTGAGTGATCACCACGGGGAGACCCAACTCCGAGGGCAGCACTTTGTAGAGCTGCGACGGCATCACGAGCTTCACGTAGTGGTAGGACTGTCCTTGGAGCAGCGCCTGCGCGATGTCCTTCAGCGAGTCCTCCATTCCGTCGATGAGTTGGTGGATATAGTGTTTGTCGAGCGGATAATAAGAAGTGCGGTCGAAGAGCTTGAAGAAGACGGTGGCCTTCGGCTCGTCATCCGAACGCATCTCGAGGTTGAGTCGGCTTTTGAGGGCTTCCAACGCCTGTTGCGCGGAATCGGCGTTTCTTTTGGTCACGCGGCGGTCTTTGCTCTTCGCGTGCATTCCTTCGAACATATCGGCGATGATTCCGTTCGGCTCGAGGGCGCGCTCGATGAGCGACTCCATTCCCTTGGCGTTGAATCCAATCTGCAGGAGCTCGTCCTGGAAGGGTCCCGACGACTGGCCCACCGAGAAGTAGGCGGAGCGCGGCACTCGCGACACATTACTCGAAACCCATTCGCCGATAGCGTAGAGTCCGAAGTCCTTCTTCTGGTCGTAAAAGCCGTCGCCAATCATCTTCGAGTACTGGAAACCGAACTCCGACTCCGGCGCGTGTTCGTAGGCCTCCGACGCGTATTGCGCGGTCTTCTGGAAGCACGGGATGGTGATGTTTCCGATGGTCTGGAGCGCCGAGTACACGAAAGAGCGCACCTGGCGGTTGTTCTCACGGTAGAGCTCGGACGCGATTCTGTCCAACACCTGCTTCTCGGGGTCGGCGAACATCGCGGTCGTGAAGGCGGCAATTCGCACTTCATAGGGGGCCGAGATGTCGGCGTAGACGGGGAGGACAAGGGGGAGGACTTGCTTCGGGTAGTACTCAGTCACGTGACTCAGCGAATAGATGACGATTTGGCGCAAGAACTGGCACTCCTCGGGCTCCTGCCACTTCTTCTCGGTCACATATCCGGGGCACTTGGCCGGGGAGATGGAGCCCGAGATGTAGGGCTCGAGAATGGGGAGGACTTGGGGAACGGCCATATGAGCGAGAGTCTCGATGAGAGTGACCTTCTGGTGGAAAGTGTTGGATTGGTCGAGAAGGCGGCCAATGATCTGCACGTATTTGGCGACATCGGCTTCTGAGCAGACGTCCTGCGAGAAGGACTCCTCCCATTCGGCCGATCGCTTCATTCGTCCCGAAATCGAAGTCTTGATCTGTTGGACAGTCACGCGCTGCGGGTTCTGCGAGTTCTGGATCACGAGCTGCGCGTTTTGGTTGCGCTTCGCGTGGGGAACGACGTTTCCGTCGGGAATGTCTCCGGGAGTCTGTTGGCGCTTCACGCACGCCTCTTTGACCATCTTACCGAACGCGATTCCCGTGGAGGCCGCGAGATGGCGGCGCTGCTGCACTTTCGGCGACTGGAAGAGCTCGAGGTAGGCGTCCATCGTCTCGGTGTCGATGAGGAAGAGGTTCTGAGGAACGGCTTCCACCAACTCCTTGGCCTCAAAGGTCGTCACTTTGTCCTTCTGGATGAGGTCTTTGATGAAGAGCGCCGCCTGGTTGGAGCCGGCGAGGGGCAGGGAGTCGAGGAAAAGCTTTCGGAGCACCTGCTCTTTGGGCGTCGCTCTCAACGAATGTCCCTTTTGGGCGATGGATTCGAACAGCTCTTTGAGGGTCTGTTGCGGAAGAACTGCCAAAGCGTTCACCACTTGCACAGACTTCTGCATCGAGTCCTTCGAGGAGGCGATGTCTCCGGCCACGATATCGGAGGCCAGGGAGTCGAGGATCTCGGGGATCAGGTTCTTGAGTTCGTCGACATTCGGGGCGCCGAAGAGGTGATAGTAAGGGATATCGAGCGGCAGTTTATAGCCGGCGGGCAATTGGGGTTTCGGCAAACGGAACGACAGCTCCTGGTGGCGCACGGGCCGCAAGATGGCGGGGATCTGGATGTTGGCGCGATTGGCCGAAGCGATGAGAGTGAGGTTCTGTTGGGTAATAATCAACAGCTCGTCGCCATTCGTCTTGTAAGCGATCTTTCCCTCGGAATACACGCTTTCGATGACCGGAACGGAGTTCTGGAGCGAAATGTTGTATTTGACGAAATTGAAGGCATCGACGGGCGACTCGTGCGGCTCATAGCCACACGGACAACCGCTCATGTAGGGGTCGGTGACGGCGTCGGGCGTCGGGTAATAGCCGGCGACGGCCGCGAAGGACTTCTCTTTGCGGCAAACCCACGGACAGCCCCTCACGTCGTAGTTGTCGTTCACAATCGACGGCTCAGTCAAGCAGTTGTCGTAATTGCGGGTTTTGGTCACATTCAGGACAAACGCCTGCTCGGGCTCCGGGTTCTTGGGGTCGGGCATGTTCGCGATCTCGTACACGGTCTCGCAAATGCCGCCGATTCCCTCCTCGTACACGGGGTAAACCGTGAGCTCGTGGTCCGGGCGCTGGATCTGGTTGTTCTTCGGCGACTTTATGATCTTCTTGGGCTCGAGGTTGACGTTGAGGAGCGAAAGGATGGCTTTCTTCATGTTGAGCGACCACTCGGGCTCCGATTGGTCGGCTTCGAAGGCCTTCACTTTGCCGTCGGTGTACACGAAGCGCACGGGTTTCGTGAGTTCGCGCTCGTATTGGGCGTTGATTTGGTGGTCCATAACTGCGTCGCCATTGGATTGGATGGCGCCGTTATGTTTGCCCACTTGGATCTGCGTCAACTTCATCGCCACCACGGAGTCGGACACCGCCTGCAGGATGAGCTGCGCCTCGATCTCGAGACCGGCGAACTGGTCGGCGAGCGCCGGCACTCCCGACAGGAGGCGCGACGAGTAGTCATAGATGTAGGTCTGGCCGGGCGTCAGACGCACCGACTGTTGCGGTCTGTACAGCGACGAGACGGCCGCTGAGAGGGAGAGAGTGGGTTAGTACATGAAGGGAACGGTAGCTTTTAGCGGAGTATACCTGAGAGGGCGACGGCCGACAGTAAGAGCGCTGAAAAGGCAATGAAACGCATTCTGTTTGCTATTCCTTCCAAACTGTAAGTCTCTGAAGGAATCCGAAGAATGATGTCTTCAGTGGAGAAGAGATCGGCTTTTATGCGAAAATTTTTCGCACTTTCAGCCAATTTCGCACTTTTCGACGCTTTTCAGCACTTTTCCTATCATTCAGCGCTTCTATCTGCGAGTAATTGCTTACAAATGCTTTTCATAGGCTTTCCGTTAACTTATCTTTTGTTACTATTCATGTATTCGTGATTCAGTTATTCAATGATAAAGAGATAACACTTTCTATCGAAAGACATTCAAGAGTTTTGTCGACACTTTTGGCCGTATTTTCGGCTTTTTGTGTGAAATTTGTGGACATTTTTCGGGCAAAAAGTCTTTATTTTAGGTTTAATTTGAGAGAAAAGTTACAATTTTTATGTAAAAGTATTGCAAAATGTTTTTTCAATCGTTATCTCAGTGTTTGAAGGAAACGCCGTTTTTTGTTGTCATCAAAAAATCTGATTTCGAAATCACTTTCTAATCACAAGTTTTACTCGTTTTTTGACCGAAAAAACGCGAAATCACTGAAAATACTTCCTATGAATGAAAAGCAATTAATTCTGCGTTTTTTTGTCGACAAAACTCACGAATAATTCTTTCATAACTTTCTTCGGATCCAAAAACTCTTCGTTAACGCATTGAAAGGCATTTGTCTGCAAAAAGAGCACAAAATTATCGCCAAATTCGCGAAATCTTTCATTCATTGCAAACCATTAGATCTCTGTATTCGCGGAGCTTTTCCTCCGATTCCCAGTCTTTGCCCAACAGTTGCCCGAAAAGCCCGCAAAAGACGCACAAAATTAACGCGAAACGCATTTCCACTCAAAACCAGTGTTTGTTTTGCAGACAAATGCAAAACAACTCCTCTTTTAATGACTTTTTTGTTTTAATTGTCTTTTAATTGCTTTTTAATTAACTTTTTTTCGCAAACTTTTCAAACAAAACATATTTGAAGCGATAGTCACGTGACGTCTAAATGTTTACGAAAACTCTTTTTCTCCCAATTTTTGTCGCGTTTTCCAAATGTCTGCAAATAAGCGCCGAAGACTTTGATCCGCG